CTCACGGGAGTTGGGCTTTGTTGCATCTTGCTGTACAACCCCTATACGAAACATAGAGCGGAGCTTCACTCCTTTTCTTGATCAACAAAAAGGCCTCCGATCACACATGTAGTCCCCTCGTTGCATAGCAGTGGCAGGAAAGCTCTCACACTCCCCCTCGGAGTTACAACTCCGACTAGGCCACCGATGCGAAAATTTGTAGGACCATCACGGTCCTGAACGATTTTTGGGCTGAACTTCTTCGAGCCAGCCATATGCAACCAGTTGAGTAAGCTCAAGGCCTTTCATCAACTATCGAGCTCAAAACTACGCAGCTCGCAATCGAATCTTTAACGATTCAGCTGCTTTGAGGTCAGACCGCTTCGGGTCTACAAAAGGTTCCTTAAACATTTCCGTCCAAGTTCCAAAACTGTTCCTGTCAGGATAGCCTTCGATACTCCAGCGGATTTATCAGAACCCAGTAACAGCTTCTGAGCAGAACAAGGATTCTCCCTTTCCAACTGCAGTCTTCCAGCAACATCACAGCAGGTGCTACACGGGGACAACCTGAAATTCTGTACGCCCGGTCCAAGTCCTAGACATCGCACGTCTGGACCCAGGCACATCAAACTTGTCCTCGAAGAACGGTATCTTTAGCGATGGGTTCTTGTATGCTACATACGATCTGCGGTGTCCTGTCAAACGTGACAACGGTACCTCCGGCGGAAGCCCAGGTCCCTGGGGTACAAACAAGAGACGTCTTGGCTTGCAGTGCACCCTGATAAGGGTCTGTCTGGACGGGTCATAGTGCCAGAAATCCTGTCCATACCCCCTTGGTATATCCTGGTGGAACCTGCCCGGGCTTCCACCCCAGGCAGGCTCTGGTCCTAAAGCCGCCCAAAGACTCCGCGGTGGGACACGGATCCTCCAACCTGGAATGACATTCAACTCCTCCACTTCGTGCTGTAGATCATGTGATACTCTCCGCCTGGGTGCTTCCTGATGTAGCGTCCTAGTGTCAGCCTCATAATCTTCTTCCAGATCAGAAGGCTCCAGAACATCAGGAAACTGTTGCTGACTATCAACAACAGGTGCAGTTTCAGGATCTCCACAGTATGCCATGTCGTCGACATATGAAGCGACCACTCCAGTAACTTGCCCACCAGAGACGACCTGCCCCACTACAGCCTGAGGTGCAGAAGCAGAGTAGGAAATGCTGCCAGTAGGTCCAGCTCCACGGAGAATATTCCGGCTCTCGCCTCGCTCATTTCTCACAAATTCCAGCTCTGGAGCACTTAGTGTCTGAGTACTCAGGCAGGGGTCAGGGTATCTAGGGTTCTGAGAATCCGGGTGCGGACTATTTACGGGACCTTGGGGGTCTCTACTGGATCCAATACGGAAGGGGTCAGGTAGCCTAGGGTCTTCACGAGCCGGGTCAGCGACGTCTCGGGCCCTTCGGGGGTTCCTATCGAACCCAGTTTCGTCGGGGTTAGGGTAGGTCCTAGGGTTTAAGGGCACCGGGTCGGTGTTAGTAGCGGTCCCTTGGGGGCGTCTACGTAACCCTTGGGCCTGGGGAGTACCTCGAATCTCCAGGCTTGTCTGGTCAGAAACTACTGACCACGAATCATCATCACGCTCACTGTGAGTAGCCCTCATGCTTTGAATCCTCGGGCTGTTCCTCAACGAGGATGCACACCCAACTCCGACGGTCAAGCCCCAACCAAGCAACACAACGCCAAGCACCACAAGCAACGTAGTCACCCACGCCGTCGCATCTGAACCAGAATCAAGCTGATCTATTGTTATTGTGATTTTTCCAGTGGCTCGTCTCAAGCACAACGCACCAAGCAACAACCGAAGGGCACGCTTCACAAGACCTACGTTAGGGATCACAGGACCATTTATTGTGTCCTCACCACTTGTGGCAATCCTCGACACAACATCCAACTCACCAAGCACAACTAGTTCTCCCTCACGTTGATCACATGACTCATCTCCCCCGGATCCGCTTCCTAGGGAGCAATCACCGCTGAGGTTCGACTCCAACTTTTTTACAACCGCCACTCTGGACTCCCCCTCGACCGGGTCGACAGTGCTCATGCCCATCATCCCCAACAACTCTTTGATTCTCATGGACTGCAACGTTTTTGTACACAAATCACCCAACATGTACTTTCCCGGCAAGTGAAATACAGCATAGTGGCTCGTCTCGATCTGTTCAAAAAACCAAGCTGCCTTCAGCCTAAGATGGCGTGTTCGCCAACTGCCTTGAGGGATCTTCATGACTGTCACAGCGCCTTGATTGTCGTTGTAAAGAAAGGTCTTCACAGGTTGCGGTTCCAGCTCCTGGATCAAGGGCAAAAACCCTTCTGTCAACGCAAGGGCATCTATGGATGATTGAAGTTCAGATTCTGCAGTAGACAGTGATGCGCACGGTTGGCGCATCGAGAGCCAAGTGATGGGGACTTGATTCCATACCAGGATAATTCCTGTCTGTGATCTGTCGTTTCCTGGGGCAAACGAAGCATCTGCGTATGCTTCTAATGCTCCTGCTCTAACCTGCAGAGGACCCACGTCGGGGCCTTGTTCAGGACCTTGCTCACCGCCATAGATGATCTCGTAGTGCGCTGTTGAACGGAGATATTTCAGGGCATTGTGGGACAACTGGATAGCAAACTCCACGTTCCTGGTCACAAATTGTCCTATTCGACTGGTCACATAGATGAGATCCGGACGCGTTTTTGTGGCTATCCATAGCAACTCTCCTGCCAGCTTCTGCGCCAACCGAACCTTTGCCAAGTCCGGCGGAGGTCTATCATGAGGCGGAACCTCGTCTGGTTCCTTCAACCCAGGCTGGGCCGAGCCGCCAACTATGTCCGGGTACCTATTGAGAAGGTCCAGAATATACTTGCGTTGATGGATATGCAACCGATCCCCACTATCATGGATTTCTAGGCCGCAAAATAGAATTCCACCCTCTTCGGCTGCAAATTGGGGTCGGCTTGTCTCCCATCTGTTTTGGATTGCCCGAAAGAGACTATCAAGGATTGCACGTGGACCGGTAGCAATCATATCATCCACATAAACTCCAAGAAGCGCAACCGGCCTTGCATCAAGCTCTCTTGCCGGTTTGAGGTACCAAAGATTCTGGTCAGCCTTGGATTTCACCAACTTGAAGTGCTCATCTCCATGACAGATCTGAATGTCCGGGAGTTGAGAATCCCTGTAGGAAGACCATGCAGCAGGGGCCTCTCTAAGGCCGTAAATAGCACCCGTTGCATACCATAGCTCCTGCTGGTGCACTATGCCTGCGCTGATTAAGACCTTAGGAGGCCTCAACACCAGGATACGGTTGCTTTGCTCCAGCGGTGCCAATAAAAACGCCGTACGAATGTCCAGCGCACCCGTGGTCCAGCTATCATCCTCGGCCTTCATCCGTCCACAATGGGAAAGTTGAATTCTAAGAGTCGTAGAATCAATACCTCCAGCATACGTGGACCCATGATCCTCACTGCCACCGCCCGCCCTGGCAAAGTTCCCACAAGCTACTATCCTGGTTTTCTGCCGACCTGTCCCACCTTTCCGGTGGAACAACGCCTTGGACGGCAAATACTCAACCACCTTGCCTTGACTGGATCAGTCGACTTCATCCTTCGAAGTCCGCTGCAGTGCACGGTGACGCTCAAACACGGATTCCAACTCCTCACCTATGGATGGTTTCCATTCTTCCACACGTTCAAGGACTTCTTTGTGCGACACGGACACAGTCTGAAGAGGTGCCACGGAAACAGCTTCTGAGGCCTTAGGTCCTGGGGGCCTGAACTCTCCAATTTCTTTAGACTCCCCCTCAGGTTCAGCCAGTGGTGAGCCTGATAATGGAACCCATTGCGTATGATCCACATCTTCAAACTCAAGAGTATCAACTCCCAACTTCTGAAGCCTTGCAAGCAAAACCCTGTCTTCCGGTTCCTGGACTTGCGTGCACAATTTCAACTCGGCGTCCTTTGTAATGACCCATTGTTCAAGTTCATGCACCCAGTCTTTCAAATCCACTAAGTGGTCAGCAGAGGCTGTCCAACCCTGGGAGGAGGAGATTTCTAGCTCCTCATCAAAATGCTTGCGGCTGTCCATCTCAAGCCTTCGAAGCGAGAGATACTGGTCATGCAAGGCCTCTAGAAACTCCGTTGCTCCCGGACTACTCCCACGTTCAATTTCCCAGGCCTGATTGCTCCCATCCTCACCTGGCGACAAACCTGCCTGATCATACTCCTTCATGGTGAGCTCCTGTGTGTCTCCTGCAAGTGCCACCTCCTCCGCACTCTTCGTTTGCTCCTGAAGATGCTCCTCGCCTTTTGCCTTACCTGGTGCGCAGGGAAGAGAGAACTCCAGATCACGCAAGACTTGTTTCTGACTCTCAGTCAGTCGGTCGAACAGTCTGGGCATGTATCCTACTATGACCCTACGATCACCAACAGCAGGTTCAACGGCGTGAATCTTCCTTGGATCAAAACAGGCAACCCCTTTCGAACCACCAATGAGATATCCACTGCGATTCTCCCCCTTGACAGATCTCGTCACAGTAGGGCCGGATTCGGCACTAGGCGGAACCCCTTGAATCCAAATGTGTCCCTTCTCAAACCAGCTAACGGGCACAACAACATTCATCGAGTTAGGCTGATTGCAGTCAACATGTGGTCCTGCTTCATAGTTGCATGTAACTCGGAGGGCAGTCCACGTCACGCTGGGGTCCATTTGCTGTCGCAAGTATCTGTTGAGAAGCCTAGTAAGTTGGGGTCTCCTATACGTCTCCTTAGTCAACCCTACTTGGGACCCATAAACGTACTGCCCAAGTGTCCAACCGGACGTTCCCTTGTCCCCGGCCTCTTTATCACAGGGTCTGGCTCTAGCTGACCATCCATGCAATGATGTTCGCAGTAAGGCGTTAATGTCACTCCTGCTCAACGGCTGTGGACTCTGTAGGAGCCTAGCTGCTTCCCGCTCACTATCTTCCCTACTAAGAACTAGCCCTTGCCACGTCCCGCAGTCACCACAAGTGTCTCGCCCATCTGCGGTTCTAAGAGCGTCACACATCCTACAGCGAACCTCCTCACACCACAAATTGCGAACACTCACTATGTTAACGCTAGGGCCCTCAATGTTCACGGAGTCAGGAACCATCCCTTCAAACTCACCCTGTTCCCCAAGGTAAATAGGATCATCTCCCCCTGAACCGGCATCCCCAAACCCTTCAACATCCCCTAATAACCCGGAATCTTCCGAAGCGTCAGCCCCAAGCCCTTCATTAGCCCCTAACCCTTCATCAGCCCCTAACCCTTCATCATCCCCAAAAAACTCAAGACCCTCAGACTCCCCCCTACCACAGGTAGTCATGCTGGTTTTCTTAGTGAGACGTCGAGGTGGCGCAGGTGGGATATCCTCAGCCACGCTACCCTCAAAAGATGGATGCTCAAGCACATCTTGATACACAACAGGAGCTACGTAGAATTGATTACTTTCTAAGAGTAGAACTGAGGCATTGGGAATGTTTGCCGCCGGGCAAAGGACCGTTCCTGTCATGGCTTTCGGATCGTGCGGCGTTTTTCTACTCCATTGTCTATTTTTTACCATGACCTTAGCACCGAATGGAGGAAGCGGCCTAATGGGGTCGGGAACATGAAGGCTCTTTAATGACTTTCTAAGTCTTTGCTCTGCCCACTGCCTTAATGCACTCGGCCAATGGTCTGTGCTCACTGCCTTTTCACTGCAGAGGAGTGTCCGGATTCCAGCTTTAGCATGTTTGACCCAGTTCTCTATACGGCCATTACTCTTTGGGTCCGAGGGGGTGCTATACCTATGCCTAAGGTCCCGCGCCAATGCCCAAGCATCGAGAGACTTATTGCAAAACTCTCGACCGCCATCTGTATGTAGGCGCCTGACCGTTAAGCCCAAACCCATAATCCTAACCCAAACCCTTTGAATGCCCTTCAGAACTTCCGAGGATTTCTTAGAAACTAGAGGCTCTACAAAGATAAGGTCAGTGGGAACCGGCGCTTGGAGTTTCTCGGCCTCCCTTAGCCATGCTTCATCCCCTCGCCGGCGCCTTCGCTCCATCTCTTCAGGGCCAGGATCACCCTCTACATCAACATCATCGTCAATACCAATTTCATACTCCGCTACTTCCCTCTCTCTTTCTTCTTCTGCGCGCTCCCCCTCAAGTCCATGACTCTCATGAGCGTTATCGCCAACAGGTCGATCATGATCGTCTTGTCTCTCCAAACCCCCGGGAGGGGAACAGTCAATGAAGCGATCAGGAACCTTGTAGCAGGTTGTCCCGTAGGTGGTCCCTACCAGGTTTCCAGGGCCCAACTAAGTCCATGGCGAGGCAGAACGTGTTGGACCCATGATGCTTCTGCCGCCTATGAACATGGGATTGCATTTGACCCTCCAAACAGGCTCGGCAGTCCCTGCGAAAGACGATATGCCCTTCGGCACAATGCTTCCGAAACTCTCGCTCTCTCTGAGTGAGTGCACGAAGCATCATCCTACCCTCTCTCTGTTCTTCTTCTCTCTGACTCTTGGTCGATTCAATCCACTTACCTATGGCGCGTCCTACTGCGGAGCAAAGGCCAGGCGCCCACTTGGCCCAGTATCCCGAGGTCTTGATCCGCTCTCCCAGGTCCTGAGGTGTCGTCGTCAGTGCTCCCCCGTATCCTGAGCCTCTCAGTTCATGAAGCTCCTGATACAGATACCAGCTATTAGTAAGGGCAGCAGAGGGCTTTCTGATGACATGACCTAGAATGCCCTGATCAAATCGAGCCAGGTACCATTGAGTCTGGAACTCCCGATCGAGTGACTCAACAGGATCAGCGGTTTGAGTTATTTCTCTGCTCTCCGAATTAGGCGGGCCATTGCAGGGACTCAGGATACCCAACAACTCAGGCCAAGCCCATACACTAGGAATCTCGTCATGCTTCCTATGCGCAGGGAGGTAGTTCATGGGGTCGTCAGGGTTCTCCAAGGCACACAACGATCCATTGGGATTGAACCTGTCCGCAATACGGTGCAGTGTGACAAATCGAAAAATCAGGATGGTATGCTCATCAACTTTCTTTTGCTCTTCTTCTGTATTGGAAGGCAACCCAAACCTCAAAAGTCCCGATCTGCCACGCACAGGTCTAGGCCCCCCATCCGAGCCATCAGGCCATGAACCGGAGCCCCTCTCACGCAGAATGCTATTAGCACAGCAGGGCGGCCCACCGATCACCGCATCCACCTTTCCCGTTCCGCACAGAGCAGCGGCAGCAGCATAAACCCTTTCATCCAGAACATTGCCCCCGTAGAGGACATCCAAGTTCACAACGGCCACATCTCGACCCAGGGCAAACTCTACCGGGTTGGTTCTCCCCGAGAACACATGCAGCACAATGTGTTTAGCCTTTCTCAGAGATTTTCTTGCCCGTCGATTCAACCCTGGGATATGATACGGACTCACAGGCTCAACCCCACCTTTCACCGGAAGACTCTTGAGTAAGAGCCAATCTGGAGCCTCACTAAACCGAGCCTTCAACCACTTGGTCAACTCCAACTCTGAGCCCCAAGGACTGTCCTCGTCCTGACCCAACCCTGAATCAACACCTGGAGGCTCGATGCTGCTCCACTTCGGATATCAGCTCCAAACATTCTTGCTCGGAGACCACAGGGCAGTTGTCTTCCAGCCACACGCCCAAATCACCCCTAACCGGATGACTCACAAGGCACTGGCCAGCACTCCATGACACCCTGCACCCCAACAAATCCACTAAAAGTCCTAGGGGAACTACGGGAGCTACAGGATCCTGAGACAACACAGTACCCAACGCAGAAATGCGCAGGTCCTGAGACCCGACTGCCATGGCCACCCTAGTAGGCGTCCCATTATCCCATTCTTCAGGGCTAGCGGTTCTAAGTGCATGAGTTGCACCTCCGTCCAGTAGTCCTGTGGGCATTCGGGATCTACGGAGGGAAACCGAAGGCACGAACACTTCCGCATCCGGTGACATTTCCACCGCGTTCAACTCCTTCCGCAATCTGCAACTCTCCCGCTCTCTCAGGACTAGGCTCTCTACCATCTCGCACACTCATGGACGCAATACGCAGAGACTTGAGCAATTTCTGGGCCTCCTCAAGGACCTGAGCTTGTGCAATAGCCACATTATGTGTTTGATTAGATCCTTGGTTAGAACCACAACTCCCCTGACTGCTGGTGACTCCCCCCGGTGCGGTAGCTCTGTTCTCAGCAGTCGGTTTTGCAGCAACAGGCGGGGGAATAGTTTCAGGATTCCCACAACCATTCTGATTTCCCGGGCCCGCGGCCGGCGCCTGAGAACCACCCGACCCCCCTTTAGCCTTTCCTTGGCCTTGTGACTTACCCCCACCAGTGGGACGCGTACAATCCGCTTGTCGATGTTCAGTGGAACCACAGTTGTAGCACCTCGACTCTCCCTTTGCCTTCCCGAACGATGGAGGAATGCGCATTGCCGCCCCTTGGAGCACCCAGCAGCGGTAAGGTAAAACCCACAAGCTTTGCCCTCACCTTTGGCCTGAGTTTTCGCATCACCCTTTCCTCCTTTTTCATCCTTCTTGTTGGGTTCAGACGCAGCGTCCTTATCCCCTTTTCCTTTTCCCCCTTTTTTCCCCTTATCCAGGACTTCCCTTCCTCAGCATCCAATTTGGACAACTTGGTTTTGTTATTCTCGTTCGCCCCGGACACAGCAATCATTTCCCACTCAGACTGCATGATCCTAGCAAACTCTTGCAAAGCAGACATACTGGGAACATGATCCAATTGCAAATACGTCCTGGCTTGGGACAACCGAAACGCTACCTGAGTATGCTTGCGTAACAATCCCTCTGACAACCCATCAAGTGCTTTAATGAGCCTTGCCGGATCCGGAACAGCAACCCCCATGCCCTGAGCCCTAGCCAAGCACCGATGCCATCTACGGATCTGTGCCACAGCATCTTGTGCTGTCTTGGCCACTCCTAAGGATGTCAACGAGTCCAACAGCTCATTTCTCTCAGCCAGACCCCCAGGAGCATACAGCTTAAGGGTCACAAAAATGGCGGATACAGTTGTAAGAGTGCGAGTAGCAAGCAATTCATCTTTTACCGCCTTCGGTAAGGCAGCTTGAAGCATAGAGAATGCCCTCGACTCCAATCTCTGGAACCGAATGTCCGCAAGCTGAGACGACATTGTAGGAATCAACAATCCCCGATTAATAGCACTCATGGCTGTCCACTTGGCATACAATGATCTTGCTTCCCACTCTACCCTCTGCCACCAGCTGGCACTGCCCTGAGACAGATCAGCCATAAGAGGTCGCACAAGCTCAAGCCAGTCCGCGGCTCTAGTGGCCGCCTCCGGAGCAGAAGGGTCATCCAACACAGGCAGTGTCCAATATACCCGATCTCCTGGAGCATATGGGTCCCTACCCCCTTCAATCTGCATCGGAACTCCCCCCATCCATGGATCCCTCCCTGGGTCGGCGTTGCCCGGAGGGCCGTACACAGGCGTAGTAGGGACGTTAGCAGGATGTGGCATAAGTGACATATGCAAGTGGCTGCCATACCCATCATTCTTGAACCCTTGAGAGCCTTGCGTGTGCAAGCCCATATTTATCGAATGATCAACCCCGGTACTAGGAATCCCCACAGAAGCCGTCAACGGAAATCCCGGAATACTAGGCATCCCTCCTATAGTACCCTGACCGCCCACACTGACATCAGGAGGAGGAGGCTCGCGGGGTACCGGCGTACCCTGAGGTGTAGTATTGCAGTGGAGATTCCAAGCCCTATTAGGATTAGGTGGCGGGGTTCGCTCCCTATCCCTAGATCCTACAACCCCAAAGCTAGGAGCCGTACTGGCCGGTATGTTATCAGCAGAGTCAGTGGCCACTCGTTCTGAGTAACCTCCTGTAACCCCAGAATGAAGGATTTCCTTAGCCGCTAGATAACCCTGTTGATACCCTTGCTCATACTGCATCGAAGCCAACGTTTCGGCATCACGGTTAACAATACCCTCGCTATTAAACCCATCCCCCTTACGCTCATAGGATTGAGGGTCACCCGTATGAAAAGCTTGTTGCTCAACAATATCATGGTTACTCTCAGCCGATTGCCACGCAGCCTGACTCGTTGAGCGCTCATCTTCCAATCGGGAAACCCGGTCTCTCAACATCTCGTTTTGAGACAGCAATTCGCTATTCTGATCCGCCAAGCGGACCATGGCGTCTCGCATCGCCGACAGAACTTCTCGTTCCTTCGCACTCAGCCCTGCCGGCGCAGGAGCCTCCACCGGACTGTCTGGGGTTGTCCGAGTCCTTGTAGGAACGTCGCCATCCAAAGTAGTCTGCAGCCTAGATCCAGGCCCATAACTGATAGGTTCGCCCTGCGGCCTACTCATTCCAGTAGCCACATTTTCAGCTAACCTCAACTCAGTCGATGAACTCGAGGCCCTGGACCTCTGAACTGCCCCCAACTCTTCTTCGGCGGACCCCAAGAAGTCCGGTCTAGCCGCTCTAAGTCGTGCTTCGTCTTGGGCTCTAGATGACCAGAAAGGACTGATCGTTGCAACACTTGTTGACTGAACCACTCTCTCACCATGTCCGCCTGATTCAGATTCCAGTGTTCTCTGAGGCGTCTGCTCCGCCTGTCTAGCGGAATCTCCAGCATCCCCCTCACCACCAGCAACAGATCGGTCTTCTAGTTCTAAAAGATCTCCAGTATTTTCAAGTGTGGCCCCAATTCCCTTCCCAGTCCTTCTCCTTGCCATATCCATGGCTAGTATAGCCCCTTCACGCAAGCGTTGGGCTCATAACCTACGAAACATAGAGCGGAGCTTCACTCCTTTTCTTGATCAACAAAAAGGCCTCCGATCACACATGTAGTCCCCTCGTTGCATAGCAGTGGCAGGAAAGCTCTCACACCCTATATAGGCCCAGCGTTTTATTTCATACTTCAATTCCTTTTACATCTGATTTTCACGTTGCATCTGCGTTATCAAGCTTAGGGTTTAGGGTTTAGTGCTTCTATTAGCTTCTGCGTCATCAAGGTTTGATCACTTGGGGGAAGAACCTGCAAAACCATAAACCTTCACTCGCCAGACCTAACAACACCCTAAGCCCTAAGCACTAAGCCCTGAACCCTAAACCCTAAGCCCTAAACCCTAACCCTAATCCATGAACCCTAAACCCTAAGCCCTAAACCTAAACCCTAAACCCTAATCCCTATAGGCCCTAAACCCTAAACCTCAGATCTTCGAAGCCAGACCACGCTGGCAGCTCTAAAGGCCATGCATACGAGGCCGCTAGGGCTGTGCTTGCTATGCAGAGCCTTGGCATCGATATTCTTACTGGGTTTAGGATTCAGGGGAACTTTAAGGGGACTCCATGGAAGCGGGCCCCATACCTTAAGAAGCTAGGGAGGCTTAGGGAGCCTTAGGGAGGCTTAGGGAAGTTTAGGGTCCCCTTGAGCATGCCCTAAGGATTTAGGGTCTGGCAGTGATATTCTTACTGGTGCTCTTGCAGGCGCGAAGGGGGTGGGAAGGGAACTACTATGTGTAGGGCTGAGGGTGTCAGATTTTGGGTTGGGAGCGAAGGAGTGGCGCTGCATTACCGTCACAGGAACCTGTATCTACCCCGCAACTTAAGCATCAGTAAGTCTAGGCTAACTCTTTTCCCCCGAATATTGAGCAGCACCCTCCACCTCCACACATCAAAGTTGTAAGGGATTTAGGGTTTAGGTTTCT